GACGGTACTGGAAAGTGCAAATTACCGTCCACGCCCCCTAGCACCGGCTTAAGCAGAATTCAACATTTAAACGTGAAATAGTAAAATTTTGAATTTAGAAACATCCGCAGATGTGATCATACGGCGGTTATCATGGAACCTTCAATGTGACACTTCCGTGCTTTAAAACCAAACCAAGCTTTAAAAAGTCGTCATTATTGCGCATTTATGAATAAGTTGTATGCTCGTGTTGAAGTCATTTAGTCGAGAAAACAAAGGTTCTATTTTTTTAATATGTTTAGATAAAGATATAGAATTAAATGTTAGAAAATGTCGCATTAGTGCCTGTGAGAGGTTATATTTGCATAATACCTTAACATAATACATAAAAATATAGTAAGACGTCATCAACTTAATTATAGTTATTACACACCAACTTAACGTGTATCTAATATCCGCACTGAGATTTGTTTTTAAAATAAATCTACGCAATGAAAGAGTCAAATGACCATTATCACAGATTATCTTCTAAATAATAGTGTATCTCTTACCCTGTTGTTACCTTAACCCTACTTAAAATTTGGTGTATAAAAACTTCCTTTTTGTACGAATCAGTGGGGGGGGGGGTTGGCATATAATTTCTAACCAGGCTCCTCAAATATAAAATAACGAATGATAAGACTTTAAATATCTCTTCATTACAACAAACGGGATTTTACTGCTTATATCTTGGTAGTAAGCAATGTAAAGATAGAATATAAAACTATAATTTGCACTTAGATTTAATGTTACCTAGAATATTGTTTTTATTATGCCCCCGAAATGTGGCATATTAAAATCGAATCGTCCGTCTGTCCGTCCGTCCGTTCGTCCGTCCGTCCGTCCGTCTGTCCCGCTTTATACATATAGACAGTGGTGGTCGTGTCCGCTCTGAAACTTCAGTATGCATGAAAGGATATAATTTTTCTTTCATATATGAAATAACCATAGATGTATGGTTTGTCGCAAACAAGACTTGGGTTCCTACGACTAAGGTTAAGGTCACTGTGGGGGGGGATCAAACTTTGTCATTTTTTATGTTATATAAATATAGAAGGTGGAGGTCGTGTCCGCTCTAAAACTTCAGTATGAATGGAAGGATTGTAATTTTTCTTTCACATATGACATAACCATATATGTATGGTGTGTCGCGAACAAGACTCGGGTTTCTGTCACTAAGGTCAAGGTCACTGTGGAGGTTAAAAAATTGCCATTTTTTATATTATATAAATGTAGATGGTGGTGTTCGTGTCCGCTTTGAAACTTTAGTATGTATGAGAGGACTTTAATTTTTCTTTCACACATGAAATAACCATATATGTATGGTGTATTGCGAACAAGACTCTGGTTACTACGACTAAGGTCAAGGTCTCCCTTGGGGTTCAAATTGTCATTTTAAATATTCATTTTATATAAATATAAAATGTGGTGGTAATGTCCACTCTGAAACTTGGATATGCATGAAATGATTTAAAAAAAAAATTTCTTTCACATATGAATTAATCATAGATGTGTGTTGTGTTGCAAACAAGACTCGTGGTTCTACGACTAAGGTCAAGGTCACTGTGGGGGTTCAAACTTTGTCAATTTTTATGTTAATATACATATAGGCAGAGATGGTTGTGTCCGCTCTGAAACCAATATGCATGAAAGGATTATATTTTTTTTACATATGAAATTACATGTATCATAAATGTATGATGTGTTGCCCTTAAGACCCGCCTTAGTTCAAGGTCACTGCTGGGGTTTAAACTTTTTCAATATTTATGTTATATACATATAAATGGTGGTTGTTGTGTCCGCTCTGTACCTTCCATATACATGAACGTTTCAATTTTTATTTAAAAATATAAAGTCACCATATATGGACAATGTGTTGTGACCAAGACCCAGATTTCTTTGTTTAACTTAAAGGTCACTTGAATATTTGTAAAGACAATAAATGATATCACTATATGTTAAAATTGTCGTAATTATTCACTTGGCTTTTAAACGTTTTATCACTAACATAAATATGACTAATGATACGCCACTTCGTTCTCCACAGTGTGCCTAATCCCCTGCTTAGTACATTAATGTCGGTCCTATTACAAGGACATGTCAACGTCTGTGATTATTGGACGTCATCTTGTCTTGTTGATCTTTGACCACATTTTATATACAAAATTTATAAGTTGAGTGAAGCGTCGACAGAACACTTAAATAGCATAATACCGATAAATATTTTGAAAATATTTGAAAAAAAATCAGCCATTGGAAGGGAGTCCGAAAATTAAAAAAGGATAATAAAATTTGATCAAAGGGGCAAACAAGCACATGAATTTTTTTATGCCTTTCTCTACTGAGTTTCGTCACGTTATGTCTTAGATCTTTAGTGAAATTTTGTTTGTATTCAAAGTAGGGTAGGACCGGAAGGTGATAAAAGGTCTTCTCATTATATTATGATCCATAAGACTAGTAATCTAAGGATCTTTAGCCGTTTGGACGCAAGCCACGTCAAAGGGAAGCGAGAAATAGACGGCTCACTACTGGTTGTTTTCAGGTACAGATCCGAATGAAGCTTTTAAGCACATAGCTTCTCACTCAATCGAACAAAAATATATTCAGTGTAAACTAATTGTTTCAATACCTATTTCAAATGATTTTTCTACTGTATCTACTGATGTAAAAATACTTTATATGTATCAATTTCTATAACAAGTATTACACAACGCCAAATGTAAAAATATATAAACTATCCGTATTTACTCCATCGCATGAGTTTTAAATTATATTACTCGTCCTAAGTTATTTAAGCAGCATAAGATTTAAATACCATCAAAACAACATAACTCATAAAACCCAACCTTTGTCATTTATATCTTTATAGAAAATGTGAGATTATACCCTTTTTGAAATAGAACATAACAATATGTAGTGTGATCAAAAGTTTAAAGGGCATTCATAGACCTTTTATAACGTTTGTAAGGTAACCGGGCATGTGTATGCAAGAATATATTTTAAATGTTATTAATTGCCTTTTTAACGCGGGTTTGGAGTTATGATGCATGAACGAAAGCCTTAGGTTAAATACGAGCACATGATTACACCAAAAAGGATAGCATTCATTTCTGTCAAACATGACCATCTGTTCTGCTTCGCTTAGGTAAATCACGAAAGAAAAAATAAGAAAACAGCTATCTAATTATAAGAGAAGTACATCTATTAATTGATTTTTCCGATATTGTTTAATCAATTTATTAACAATTTAAACTTGCATATCAGTCTAGATTTTTAGTATTTAAACCGGTGGTAATCAAACCAGCTACTCGAATCAAAAGGAAAAATGGTATATTTGACAAAAAATGCCGGCTCTTTTATTTTTAATGCGTGTCAAATTCTCGTACGATATAAAAAACATCGTTTTAATACCAGATATCACGTCAACTTAACGTGTACCAACAGTAGCGTAATAATTGCAAAGTGTCAAATGATCATATAATACCCACTTGGATTGTTCTGTATTTCAAAACACCTGATTATAATTTGGGGGATAAAAACTTCCTCTTTGTATAATATTTAACTTGGCTTTGCAACAATGAAATAATGACAAAGAAAGAACTATATTGGCTGATGGAATATCAGGATTTTTACTGCTTTTATGTTGGTTTGTTGATTGAAATAACATAATGCAATGATAAAATGTAGAATTAAATGTCGCCTTATTCGGAGTCATTAACTTTCCATCTATTGAGACTGATGAAGTAAAAAAAAATTATTTTAAAGTGTTTTAATTAAAAGAAAAGAGAAATAAGAGTTTGCATTTAATTTTCAAGCTTTCATACAAACCAAACTAAACTTTGTGTACAATATAACATTTCTGTGGTCATCGTGTCACACACACAAAGACACACACGCACGAACAAACTAACGAACATATTTAAGCCTTTTTGCATCTAGAAACTCGTTTAATTAAAAATAATAGTATTACAAATGTATTTACACTGTATATAACTAAAGAAATACACATACAACTCGAAACGACAGGTTACATTTTCAAGTAGAAATGTATTTGTATTTATTCTTTCTCAAAATAGATTGTAACACTTTTTGTCAATTTTAGAAGCCTGAGCAAAATGAACTTGCCATAAAACAGTTAAGCCATGGACATTAAATTTGATATCATTGAAGTTTTAGTTTTATAAAAAGTGATTTATATCTATATCTTGTCAAAACAAGCGGAATATGCTGTCAGTAATGTCGAGGGTTATTGTACATTCAATCAGAGATGTTATATTTCCGATCCTTAAAGATCGTTCGGCACGACATTATTGTTGTGCTTGTGATAATTTAGTTCTTTCTATTCGGCTATTTTCTTGTTGGATGGTTCCAGTATTCCTCACTTGAATACTGTTGAATCACCCTTACGATATGTGGCCTGCTTTTTAAATTTGTCTTTTGACGACTTATCTGTGATATTTAGTCTTCATAACCTCTGATCCCCTTTCAAAAATTCCATTTTATTTAATTCCGCCCATTGTTTTCTCGTTTAGGGCACACACATTCTTTTACTTGGGGACCATATACCGCTTTTCATGGAATGGCTATTACGTGTCACATTGAATGTTCCATGATAACCGCCATATGAACACATCTGCGGATGTTATAAAATTCAAAATTGTACCAGTTTATGTTAAATGTTGAATTCTTTAAGCCGGTGCTAGGGGACGTAAACGGTTGCATATGACAGTATCGCCAATGAACAGGCTCAATCAAACCGAGCCTGCAACATTTCAATTTTGCCGTGCTGGACTTTCTTTAGGGATTCTTATTTTCTCTATTTTAGAAAATGTTTATACACTATATTATTCAAATAATTCTAGAGTAGTCCGTTATGCAAATTTAAAAGAAAACAACGTATAAACAAGTTATATAAACATTGCTTCGTTAATACAAACTGCACTATAAAGGGGACTTTTAAAGATAAATGAAGACATAACAAGTGAAAGTTTAGATATAATACAGTCTAGATATATAAAAAGTGCAACAAAATGAGAATACATGGTGGAATACGGGTGTGTGACTTCTCAATTGTTAGAATAATGTTCTATTGGCAATATAAAGCTATATGTTAACATTCCAATGCAAATATTTAAATCTTGTATTCTAAAACTATGTAACTGATGAAATACCAAGTAGAAAAGACAAATACATCCCCAAAAATGTTTTTCTTTATAGAAAAAAAGCAAAAAAAAAAAAAAAAAACAATTTTGTACGATTATATATGCATGAAGGATATTGACGTACTATTAAATAATTAAAATAAACCCCTTGTCGAAGGTAACATGATCGCATATACTGCATCTCAATTTATTGATATTTTATTATATTAACCTTTTGCAAACAAATTATATTTAAAATCAAATTTTCTGATTCTTTAGCTCACATCAGATTAACTTCGTCTAAACAAGATTTTCTTTTCGTTCCAATGCAAATATTAAAATTTTGTATTCTAAAACTATGCAAGTGATGAAATACCAAGTACAAAAGACAAATACATCCCCAAAATTGTTTGTCTTTATAGAAAAAAAAAACAATCAAAAAACAATTTGTACGATTATATATGCATGAAGTATGTTGACGTACTATTAATTAATTAAAATAAACCCCTTGTCGAAGGTAACATGATCGCATATACTGACTTAAAGTTTATTAATAAGAAAAACAAAAAATTACGAAGTAGCTGAAATTACAATTTTTAATATTATGGGAGTGTTACATAGCGTTCTTCGTCGTCCTTAAGTTCTTTTTCAGTGTTGGTCAATTGGTAATCAGCATTAGTGTAGTAGTTCTTGCAGCTACTGTTACTGTCTCCTAACTTTCCTTCAAGTTGGACTGAGGCTTCCATACTGTCGAAACTAACGATTCGGTATACATTGTCACATTCATTAGTTGTAGTAGTCTTGTCGTCTGGACATTTTAAGGTCTCATACACCTTTGTGGTGTCTGTATCCTCAGTAACTTTTTGCATTCTGAAATAATTTAACCATTTAGAAAACTATTTTTACATAAAGAAAGCTCTTTAAATTAGCAAATTTGAAGTATTTCATTTTGGAAAAATACGCATGATGTTAACATTAAAGTAAAATAAATATTACATACCGTCTTCGCCAAATGATGAAAATTATCAAACCACATATAACTGCTGTCATAAGACCAATCACTGATATTGCAATAGTAAGCAGTTCGTTATCGGCATCAGATGCTGAAACAATATCAGGCAATTATATCTTGATGAAGTATATCTAGAGATATTGAATGGACTATATGCAACGTTATTAATTTTAAATAAATACCATGTAAAATAGTTACAAAAGGACTACAATTATTGTAGATGAAAAGGACACTATGTAAGTGCAACAACACGATCAGTTTTTTCACACTTTACTGGATTATTAATTGATAACAGGTTATAAATCTTAAACATACATTCGTGTTCTGTCGTTTTGCTTGATGTATCGCCCTTGGTTGTCGTGTCATCGGCCTCAGTAGAAAGTCCCGAGGACCTTTGCATTGTAACTGTGGTGGTTGTCAGGGAAGATGAATCTCCTTTGGTCGACGTGTACTTGACACCAGCAGAGCTCTGTTTGTAACTTTCGTGTTCTATTGTAGTGCTAGGATATATCATTTCTGTAGTCCTGTCTGGTGGACTTGCGGTGCTTCTAGCATGTGTGGTTGGCTGTTGATACCCAGTTGTAGAATCTTGTCTTTTATCTTTAAACATTGAACTAGTTTATTTTAAGCAAGGAATCATAATTATTTACATAATAGGTTTTCATTTCCATATCACATATATGTATCTTGTAATTAATAACGATTGAGATAAATACTAGTCAACAATTCTTATTGTTATAGATATTTTATATTTACCAAAACAATATCTTTGATGACAACTGGATGGTAGATCAATAAAACAGTATGCCATAAACTCTCCACAGTTGACAGCTGTTAGCTTGTAGGTATTCAGACAACAACTATCAAAGTCTTTAAGGCAGGATGTACGACTCACCACACCTTCTTCCGGTTCCGGGTTCTTACCTAGAAAAAATATGCAATAATATATAGTAATAAGGTTATCCACTACAAATGCTTAATGTATCAAATGGACAGTCAATTGGTAATATATGACTTTCGACAAAATTTAATGATCAATTAGAGTGTCTGTTTGTTTGGTTGGTAGTTTGAATTTTACGCCGTTTTAACATCCATATTGGTCATATCCTGGCGGTCGATCAACAACCATATTGGCCTTCCTCGATAGCTCCCAAAGTGACCACCTTTTCGTGGGAGACCAAATGTGCTCGAGGAATGTCAGTCACAACAGTTTGATGATGATTAGTCAGTACTATGTCGCTTCAGGCCATATTTAAGCTTCAGTACGCATTGCGTTGTTTGACAGGCAAGCCCTTTTTGCTTTCACTAAAATTGAGCTTGTATTTTGACGTCAAATGTATTTCACCATTATTTATCATAACAACTATTTTGAATATTTCTTTCAGTGTCTTTAAAGTAAAATGTAAAAGAAAACAATCCTGCTCAATCAATGTTTTTGCACGTTTTACCATTAAATCGTCTAACGTCATTTGTATGTAAAACATTTTACCGTTCATCCAGATAGGAAACTTTGTTCCACACATGTACATGCTTGGACAGCTTGTGCTCATTCGTGTTTCACTTCTGTACCATTGAGAGGTGTTGATTGAATACACGTCACAAAATTTCCAATGTGACGTTTCGTTTGTCATCACAAATGTTGGATCTCTTGTTGATACATTCGGAATTTCAGGGATTATTCCATTGCATACATCTGAAAATTTAAGATACATTAAAAGCCTGTAGGTAACTGATTAGAATCATACATTGGAGAGATTTTATTGGTATTATTTATTAATAAACAATGCTCGTAATATTACTTGTGTTTTCGTAGTAAATCTTTCTGCAAGCTATTAATGCTCATTTTGTACTATTTTTTCGAGATTTGTGTACCATTTGTTATGTACATAAAGTTAGTTCCCTATTCCTTATTCCTTTTTCGAATAAGGAAAAGGGAACTAGTTCCTAATTCCTTGTTCAAATCTAAATAAGGAACAGCAGAATTAGTATTTATATAAAATAAAATTATGGTTAGTACGGTTCTTTCTTTCACAAATCTGTTGAAAATTGCACAAATCAATTATCAAAATCATAGAATAAAGCATCTGCATCGACATAGTCGATAAAGCGAACAAGGAATAAGGAACCCGTTCCCTATACCTCATTAAAACAATTGCATAAAGCATCTGCATAAAAATAATTTTGAAAATATGTTAAAGTCGAATAAAGAATAAGGAGCCAGTTCCTTATTCCTTATTCAACTCCGAATAAGGAACAAAAGAAGATCCGCCAATAGAGGAAGCAGTTGCAGTTATTTCTGATATATCTGCATATGAATCGCAAGGATCAATCATTAAAATCATTAAATAAAGCATCTGCATTAAATATTTTACAAAAATGTTAAAGTCAAATAAGGAATACGGAATCAGTTTCTTTTTCCTTATTCCAATCCGAATAAGAAACAAAAGAAAAAATTTAAAGAAACATATCAGTTGCAGATATTTTTGATAAACCTGCATTAGAATTACAAGTTTATTTTTTAAAATATTTTATGCAGATGCTTTATTTAATGATTTTAATGATTGATCCTTGCAATCAATTCTTATGCAGATTTATCTTAAATAACTGCAACTGCTGTCTCTATTGGCGTATCTTCTTCTGTTGCTTATTCGGAGTTGAATACGGAATAAAGAACTGGTTCCTCATTCCTTGTTCGACTTTTTTATTTTCAAAATATTATTATGCAGATGCGTTATGCATTTTTTAATGAGGTATATGGAACGGGTTCCTTATTCCTTGTTTAACTTGAATATTGTTTAAAAATATGTCAATGCGGATGCTTTATTCTATGATTTTGATGATTGATTTGTGCAATTTTCAACAGATTTATGAAAGAAATTATCGTTCTAGTTTTTTTGTCAATTTCATATACATACTAATTCTGCTGTTCCTTATTAAGATGTGAATAAGAATTGAGGAACTAGTTCCCTAATTCTTATTCGAAAAAGGAATAAGGAATAGGGAAGTAACTTTATCCATCCATTTGATGTAGCTCTGAATCATCAACTTTTGTGCAAATATTCAGATCATTTCGTGACCTCATTTTTTCCAGATTGATATTTTTTAATGCGCAATATACCCCGCTTTTCATTCAAATCGCGTTTACAAAATGCACTAATAATCGATTTAAATTTCATTCTAAGTATACTTGCATTTATGTGCTTGGAGTGACGAAAACCCCAACCAAACAAAGAAAAAAGGAAAACAAAACCAACAAAACAGAAACGCAAAACCCTTAAATCATATGTCATGTTTTGCAGTTTTTTAACCTCGGTGGAACTCATAAAAACCGAATAAAATATAATTTGACATGAATATTTGATAATCTGCCAACGTCATATTGATTTTTTAATATACATGTCAGGTATTCATAAATCGTTGTTTTTTAAAACTATAATAATTATGGTATTTATAATTCATAATGAATACTAAACTGTTCGATTGTTTTTTAGAACGAAATATAAACATAAAAGCTGCAGGTAATGAAATTTAAACATCAATGCCCATGCCCATTTGAGTTAATACTTTACATTTTTAGGGCAATAATTATATACATTTTGTCCATACATGTTTTAGTTTATATTTACATTTTTAGACAATAATTATAATCATTAGTTACATAAAACAAAACAAATAAAATACCTGTTGCAGAACCGGAGCAATCCGAGGTAGCTACACCAACTGTAAAAAAAAAATATTTTGACTATTTACTGAAGACCTGATTGATTGCAATTTGTTGTATGAATAATGATTCATACATATAGGGTTTATATTTCAATAAAGCACTGATATGAAAAAGTCTGAGTTAACTATTTTTCTGAATTTTTGTTGATGTTTAGATTCTCTTTCTTAACAAAGAAAGGTGATAACGTAGGTTTATAAGAAACTTTTTTTTTATTTCATTACTCCCAAAAATTAGCGTAGTTAAAGGTCCGATCAATTCATATATCAAAACCTTTATAATTTATAAACAATGATTATTAACAATGACTAGAAATGTATGTGGTTGACAAAAATATTTTAAAACATATTCACAAATCTTAGTACCAAAATCTATTGTAGATGTAAATGATACAAATGTCTGTACAATTATAATTGTTTCATTATGTGTACAGGTGTAAGTATACGGTTTTGTAAAGAACGCTACTCTTTATAACATTTTTATAATAATGTGAAAAGATTTCATCTACAAATATATTTAAATGAAACAGACCCTAGCTTAATATCTATTTAACGGTAAATGTACACTTATTATAAATAATAAAAGCCCTTATCTTACCTATATACAAAGAAATTTAAATGAAACAAAGGCTAACTACAAAATCTATTTAACTGTATGTGCATATTTATTATAAAAAATAATATCCATAATCTTACCTATATATAAAGAAATTTTAATGAAACAAAGGCTAACTACAATATCTATTTAACTGAATGTGCATATTTATTATAAAAATTAATATCAATAATCTTACCTATATACAAAGAAATTTTAATGAAACAAAGGCTAACTACAACATCTATTTAACTGTATGTGCATATTTATTATAAAAAATAATATCCATAATCTTACCTATATACAAAGAAATTTTAATGAAACAAAGGCTAACTACAATATCTATTTAACTGAATGTGCATATTTATTATAAAAATTAATATCAATAATCTTACCTATATACAAAGAAATTTTAATGAAACAAAGGCTAACTACAATATCTATTTAACTGAATGTGCATATTTATTATAAAAATTAATATCAATAATCTTACCTATATACAAAGAAATTTTAATGAAACAAAGGCTAACTACAATATCTATTTAACTGAATGTGCATATTTATTATAAAAAATAATATCCATAATCTTACCTATATACAAAGAAATTTTAATGAAACAAAGGCTAACTACAATATCTATTTAACTGAATGTGCATATTTATTATAAAAATAATATCAATATCTTACCTATATACAAAGAAATTTTAATGAAACAAAGGCTAACTACAATATCTATTTAACTGTTTGTGTATATTTATTATAAAAAAAATAATATCCATTATCTTACCTATAAAGAATCCAACACCAAGAACAATCAAATTAACATATAAGTACATATTTCACAGCAGCAGTGTTTTCTGTATTTTTTCCTTGTGAAATAATCTACCTTTTTACACCATCATAATATAATTTCACCGTGTAACTGGTGATACGGAAAAGTATCGTTTTTGTACAAAGAGATCCGAATATAAAGCGTTTCAATAAATTTATATTTTCTTCCTGTTTGACAAATAACTAATGCATGGGTAGTTTTAACGTTAATTTAGGTAAAGCAATTCTGAAACTTGAAACTCGGTCCGTTTTTATTGCTTTTTATATCGAGTTGCGGTAATATTGTGTAATTAATTAGAAGAATAAATATTCATTCATAATGTAACAATTTTTTCCCATGAATAAAGAAACAAGACATCACGTGAACTTGCTAAACCATGACACAATTATCTTTGAAAGGCTCTTTTTAATGATACTGTTACGTATATACACATTTTTTTTTCAATACTGCATTTGATTATATATTATCATTGATTTTACATTTCGTTTTTATCAAGCATTTAGAAAATGTGAACAAGAAAAGCAATATTGTTGAAATGTTATTTGAATTAGTTTGATTTTAAAACTATACATTACAACTAGATCACACACACACATGCACGCACGCACACGCGCGCGCACGCACGCACACACACGCACAACACACGCACGCACGCACAACAAAAGATACATTATGTTAGTTATAAAACCAAAACATTATATAATATTAATCGGAGACATACATTATCTGAGTTATAAAATACAAACATTATGTAAATTAAAATGATCTTTATATTGATTTATCAAACACTTAAAAGTTGTCATCTATCAAAGATATACTGTATGTCAGTGTATCAAACACACATATATATATGTAACTTTATCAAAAGCTTCCAGTATATCAAACATATGCAATATGCTAATGTATTAAAAGAATAAACATTGCTACATATTCAACAAGTACACTTTGTAAGGGTTTTAAACACATATGATATGTCACTTTATAAAAAAAAACTTCATTTTATCAAACACATATAATATGTAAATGTAGAATCACGCAAAGGATGCTGGTTTACAGACATAAGGACAAATACTTAAGCATGTAAGGTCTTATATATCAGTCTTTTAAACACAGTGCTAAGTACTTTGTTTTTTTTCACCGAATACTACGCAACAAAAGACTCTTTTTAAGTGAGGCGAATTCCAGAGACTACTGACTGTCAAACACTTGATGTTTTGATGATTTCTTTTAGTGAAAAAATTGATAAACAGTGTTGATCAATATATCAAGATTCTAATGGTACAATGTAGGAAGAACTATTTCGAACCTAACAACATGCTAAAACATGTTACGAATTAGAAAAAAAATGGACACGTTGAGAGAAAACAATAATAAACAATAATGTCGCATAATTGCTATTGGTTTTATCTGAAGTTTTTACTATGTCTAGCAGTAGAAAAATCAATACAAATTTAGTGATAAACTTTAAGCTCTTTACGACATATCATGCGATGTTGGGTATACCATGCATACTGATGATAATCTACCCTATACTTTAATTCCAATACAAATGTTTATCGGATGAGTAGTGTTAAAACTGGGGTTCCCTGTTACTGTGTTTTACACCTTGAAATATCAATTGTTTCACCTGGAATATACAGCAGTAGCGTCTGTATTCATTGCATTGTCTATCACAAATACTGGAGCGTGTCTCTCGTATGGGTTTAAATTATGTCGTTATTGTATTATGTATTTGTACCACAATAAATAAATCTGCATTTTTATAAATGACATTGTGAAAAAAAAATGAATGAAGGTTGATAGACGAAAGTTGATCGTATGTGGTGTAAAGAAGGATGTGCAAGGTGTGCGTAACTGTTTTGTGTTTTAGGAATGAGGTTTTAGTCGTAACACATTCATTGTCGGGACAGCAGTACGCGTCTAGAAAATTCAAACTTGACATGTACATTCAGTCACTGACAGATTTTGTATTTTTGATCTTTGATTCTTAAAGATCGTTCAGCATACCATTTATAAAATCACATGACTCTTAGAGAAATGGTGCATATTTGCAACCTGAAATAACACCCGATGCGGAGTTAATGTATTTTTTCACCGCTATGCACTATTATATAATTATTGACTAGTTTGTCATGGAAAATGGTGTGATATTCACAGGCAGATGACATATTGACCGAGTCGATAGCCGATGTCAATATGACTTTCTGCTGGTTTATATCACATCATATTCAATGGCACACTAGTCAATAAGGGTTTTATTATAAGAATAGGCTATAAAAATCTAAAAAACACAGAAAATACAACTTAACACATGTACAACGATTGGCTGTTTCGATGAAGCGCGGGAAGGCGTCCAACGACTACGTGCACGTTAAGCATATAAATGTAATTCAAGTTTATACTCATCATTGTGGTGTAACTTTTAACTATAACAGTAAAGTAATGATATTTTATCGAGAAATATACCATAAAGAACAAAACGCAACAATTATTTTTTTAATAAGCACGCGTAATTAACAGTCTACGATATATGGTTCTTGAATATGAGTCTCAATCTATTTTTAGACTTGAAAATTCCAATTCAGCCAGTGAATGTGATACTACACCCAGTGAATATGATTTATAAAAAAAGTTATGTTGACTACTGTTTGGACCAATAAGATTGCCGCTATATTTAGATCATATAATGCATTATTACTCTGAGAACAATTCATCTGCGACCAGGGCAGAAAACTATAACATTAACTTTCATTAAGTCTATATAGATTACTCATCCCTGCTGAATATTGCAAATATTATTAACATGGTGATTTAATTCCAGTATGATAGATCGAAATAACGTCATGTGACGTCGCATGACGCTATATAGTAAAATGTTTCTGGAGGTATAATAATAGGATATGATGTCTGCTTTTGAAAAAAATGCTAATCTGTGATATCGAGGCTGAATAACATCTGGTCCCCTTTCAAAATTCCATTTTATTTAGAGATTTTGTTTTTTCGATTCTGAAAGATCGTTCAGCAGGACATTATTATTGTGCTTTTAGTTCATTTTATTTGTCATTTTTCTAGTTGGGTGTTTCTAGTATTCCTAACTTGAATACTGTTTATCACCATTACGATATGCATTTGAATTTTTGTATTGCTTATCAGTGATATCGAGGCCCTATAAACCCCTGGTTCCTTTTTCAAAATTCCATTTTATTTAGTTTCCCATTGTTGTCTCGCTTAGGGCATAAAACATTATTTTACTCGGTTTTCATTGAAGGTCACTGATGTGTCGCAATGTAGGTTTCATGATGTCCGCCGTATGAACACATCTGCAGATATTTTTACTATTTTATGTTTTTAAATGATGAATTTTGCTTTAATGCCGGTGCAAGTGAAGATGTGGTAGCTAGCTTGCACTTTCCAATAAATTCCAGCTCAAACCGACCCTGCGGCATTTTTGCAATTTTGCCGCGTAAGATGTGTTTTACGAATTATTTTTTCCTCAACATTTTTACGACGCTTGAACACTTTACAAACAATTGCAATATTAATGATTTATCATTATAAGCACGAAGAACAACAACAGGTAATATTATTTTTTAATTTATATAAAAATAAAATTTTTGTAAACATCATTTCAGAAAAAACAACAAATAGACAAGAATAACCGTTACAGACCGTGGTATAACGGCCATATATTTATACAAAGTTTAATGCGTGTTTATGCCCATCTAAGGTTATATATTTAGTGAACAGTTGAAAGTCAAATTAACTTAGTATGAACGATAAATAACTCTTATGGCCCAGGCAAATTATGTAGATATCCATCAGAATTTAACTTTGACGTTTAATTCTAAAAAGAATGGCGCAATCTTTTTATATTTGTGGTCGATCAGTCATTTCAGCTCAACTTGACAATAAAAAATGAGCATACAATATTTTTTAAAATTATTTGTTTAGAAATTGTATTTAAATATAAGTTATGTTATATATTTATATGAAAAGAAGAATTGTACAGAAATGATAGTTTTCCTTTGTGCTATTCATAATGATAAGTACACATGTGTTGTGTTGAAAATTGAACGAGTCCTAAAACCTCTATGAAAGGAAAAAGCAAGACTATTTTAACAATAAATCCACACAATTTTTCATATTCTTGTAGAAAAATGATATAATGTTTGCTAATATAATACAATAATATGGAAATAAATAAATAAATAAAATCACAGTTATTTCATCACAGATAGATACTTTATTTCCTTCAATGTACATGAAGAGCTGAACATATATACAAACATATAACTACAAAAATTAACAAAACAGTTTAACAGCTAGATACAATAATAACATGTAGTCAAATATATAACTGTAAACATAAAGCAATATCAATTTACAGAAAACAGCAATTCAGAAATCAATATTTCTAGAAGCTTACTCATATTTAAGGTAAATAGATAAATATGTAAGCTATAATAACAGACACATAGATAATTATTGATTGATTGAATAAAGGATAGAAATGTCAGCTCTGTATAACAGCTTTAAAGAATTTGTCAGAATGCTTGTAACTATTCTGTGGAGTACATATAATAATCTTGCTCTTGATATTATTGGTAAATATTCATCCAAAAATATATGATATATATTAAGAAAGAATTAAAATTTCGTTCTATATGTGAGACAATCTTGTTCGAAACGAAAGTTAACAAGAGACCTCAACTAGAAATACATTTTCTATTGTACTTTTTTAACAGATTATTAAACCTGTTTCAACTTGATTACTGATTCTAATGTTGTACAATACTTTTCAGATAGTTTAATATTTAATTGTATTGATATCAAAACTCATCTTGCCGAAAACATACAGACTCGAAATACAAGATCAGAAATATCTTTGTTCATTGTAGTGATATGAAGTATAATCTATTTATATAAAGATTTGGCTTACAATATTATGATTAACTTAAGTACGTATACATACATATTGCTATGAGTTAGTTTACAATATAGAACAATCTTATGCAACAGGAATGGGGAAAACAACAAGCAAACAAACATATAAACAATAACAACGACTCATACGTGTGTGCACATACATAAATTGAAGGTAAAACGCCGTA